TAGAGCAGGGAGCCCGATGTGGGGCTCGATCCCAGGACCCTGGGATCATGACCCGAGCCGAAGGCAGACGCTTAACGACTGAGCCACCCAGGCGCCCCATCTTCCACAATTTTATATTCATTTCCCCATGCTATCATAATCCTTTTCTGCTCTTAATTCTCAGAGTCCACAGATTAGAGAGTCCACATTCTCTGACTCTATAGTTGGAGCAAACTCAGAAAACAGGAAACACTGTCTCATGAAAATGATTTCCTACTACTAGAATGCCACATTCCTCATGGGCAGTGATAAATAACTGAATTAACTATATCCTCCAGAAGACAAACTATTGGTACCAAAATACAAACTAGGAAAGGACATTGGAAAGACTGATTCTTTCAAGTTGGAAAGATAGCTGATTTTGAGGCTGAGTTGCACACATACTTGGAATTTTAGACAACCATGTTTATCCCAATAAAAGCAATATTAAACCAAAATTTATACTCTACTTTTCATTAGGAATGATCACTTAATGAAAATCAATTACCAAAATATAATGCTGGTATTGAGAAAGGAAAAGATCTAATCATGGAAACTGACCTCGATGCCAATAACTTACCTGCTACCACTCATTACATAACCCGAGCATTCAAATGATGCAATTTCTTCACTTGTCAAGCCAATTTCACCTCTTCTTGGGATACGTTTCCCTGCTTTTACATATTCAGCCATAGCTGCACCCTCACCAGGTAACAGCGCATGACCATAGCTACAAAGTAATTCAGAAAAAGTTCATTATAAAAAGCTCATCATTACAAAAAGCTCATCATCTGAAGAGAGCACAAAAAGATTTTCTCTCAGAAAACAGCACAAATAACAGTTGCTGAGTGGCAGCATGCTCGGAAGCCCGATGTGAATTACTTTAATTAGTGAACATTGCACTCTGACCTATATAACTAACCCAGGAATACAGAGATGCTTTGGAAGAACAAAAGAACTGATGTTAGTGAGTCTAGATTCATGGTTTACAATTATGGATCATTTATCCCTACAGGCAGTGCCTATATGGCTTCTGCCTCCGGTGAATTCGTTTTTCCTTTTTCCCTTTCAAAAAAAAGAAGAGAAATAATATATTTCAAATTAACATAATTTTTAGACTTATAACCGGTAATGCTATACAGTAACAATTACCTATTAACTTTCATTCGATAGGACTTTAAAAACTATCATCCCTTCAGTCAATTCACTGACAGCATCTTGAATACCTACTAAACTCAAAGCTTATAATACAAAAATAATCTCTGTTCTTATGTAATTTATATACTGATGGGGACATAACTGCAATACAATGTAGAACATATAAAACATTGCACAAAAGAAAGAGAAAATACTGTGAGGACTAGAGGATTAAAGAGGGGTAGGAATCCCATCTACTCGTGGAGGGAAGGTCCTGGGAATCAGCACATGACCCCTCCTTTTGAAAAGAGCTTTGAAAGATAGTAAGGATTTTAACAGAAAGAAATTGGGAGTAATGAAGAAACAAGGGCAGGGAAAAGAAGTGAAGGCATGTTGGTGAAAGACATAAGGTGAACAAGGCATGATATAGTAAAGTGCACAGTAAATACAGGGAAGTTTTAGTTCAGCTCACTTGGAACCTGGCATGTAAATAACGACATAGAGGGAGATATAGTTGGAAAGGCAAGTTAGGGTTGTACCTTAGATATTTAAAATACACTGTTACTTACTTCAAAGGTTTATCATCCTGAGAGGCAAGTGTTTTTGGAGCCTCTGGGCCAATTAAATCTGAGGGTTCTTCAGGCTCTGCAGGAAAGATGTTCAGAAACAGATTCACATTTTGACCAATCATTTAATTTTTTATCTGTTCTGAGTCAAAGTCTACCAGAAGAACCTACTTGATCGATCCTTCCAGGGATTCTCCAGAAACTCTTCCTGGGAATCTTTAGAGCTTGAATCACTGGAATCTTTTCTACTCTTCTTAGACTTCTTTTTCTTGTATTTCTTCCTGTAATTATAATTTGATACAAATACACTTAATAGCCCCACATTAAAGGGAATCTCATTTTTTAAGGCAATGAAAGACTGATGAAAATGATTTAAGTTCTCAGCTGATTAAAATTTTTAGAGAATTTTATTTTATTTTATTTTTTTTTAAAGATTTTATTTATTTATTTGAGAGAGAGAATGAGATAGAGAGAGCATGAGAGGGGGGAGAGCCAGAGGGAGAAGCAGACTCCCTGCCGAGCAGGGAGCCCGATGCGGGACTCGATCCCGGGACTCCAGGATCATGACCTGAGCCGAAGGCAGTCGCTCAACCAACTGAGCCACCCAGGCGCCCCTAGAGAATTTTAATTAGAAGATCTTTTAACTTATTTAACCAAATCATGTTTCACTATAAAAAAGATCCCTCAAGGGGACAATGAAATACAGTTCTCATGTTGCAAAAAGATAATAAAGCAGTTAAAAAAACAGCTCTTGGGGAACCTGGGTGGCTCAGTTGGTTAAGCGTCTGCCTTCGGCTCATGTCATGATCCTAGGGTCCTGGGATCGAGCCCCACGTTGGGCTCCCTGCTCAGCAGAGAGCCTGCTTCTCCCTCTCCCTCTGCCTGCCTCTCTGCCTACTTGTGCTCTATCTCTCTATCAAATAAATAAAATCTTTAAAAAAAATAAAAATAAAAAACAGCTCTTACCAATTTGAGCATCAATAATTTGAAGTGTAATGGATTAAAATACATCAAATATGTTTGAATCCTTGGGTTCATAATGATACTAAAAAAAGTCCAACTCATTATTCTGAAAACTCATAAAACAAAAAAAGTTAAAAAAAATAACCTGCCTTTCCTGTACAAACTGTACTTCAGAGTAAACAAACAGTTGATGAGGGTAGGTTTCTCTTATAGAATTATCCTACCTAATAAATGAAGAAAGCAAGCCAGAAAAAAAAAAAGAGAAAGCCAGAATGAGACTATCACCACTTTGCAATCCCTAATGAAACAAGGGATCTAGGAAATGACCATCCATGGCTATTAATATGACAAAAGGAGACAACCAGACATTATCTGCCTCCTGACGAAGTACACAGCACCACCTATGAAGTATGTGTGCCAAAGACTCAAATCTGTACCTCATCAAGTCTCTGGACCTTACTATCAATATATAAGAAATAGAGAAGACAAAGAACATGTTAAAAGCACACCATAAAAATACAGTTAGTGGTGTCTGGCTGGCTCAAACAGTGGAGCATGTGACTCTTGATCTTGGGGTCCTGAGTTCGAGCCCCACATTAGGTGTAGAGATTACTTAAAAATAAAATCTTTAAAAATAAAGAAATAAAAAAATTAAATATAATCAGCAAAATCTATACTGTAGGAAACTCTACAGGTAAATGATTTGGTTTCTTTAACAAAAATATTGCAAGAACAAAAAGGGAAGGGGAACCAACTAATTTAAAGAGATACAAGGGACATATCAACCAATCACAATTTATGGGCATTATTTGGATCCAGATTTAAATAAACTACATAAAAACCTGCTGAGAATTGAGGAATTATTGCTAAATATATTAGGCATGATAACACTATTGTGGTTATGATTTTTATAAAGGAATGCCTAGGGGCGCCTGGGTGGCTCAGGAGGTTAAGCGTCTGCCTTCAGCTCAGGTCATGATCTCAGGGTCCTGGGATCGAGCCCCACATCGGGCTCCTTGCTCAGTGTGGAGTCAGCTTCTCCCTCTGCCTCTGCCCTTCCCCTGCTTGTGCTCTGTCTCTGTCAAAGAAATAAATAAAACCTTAAAAAAATAAAAATAAAAAAATAAAGGAATGCCTATCTTTTAGAGAAACATGCTGGTTTATGGACAAAATGATATCTGGGATTGGTTTTGAAATAATGGGGGGGCAGTGAAGACTGTCCAAGAGTTAAAGTTATTAAGCTGGGTGATGGTTACATGGGGGATCACTACACTATTTATCATTATTTACTTAATTACTCTATTTTATGTAATTTTATATATATTTTAACTTTTCCAAGATAAAAATTGGAAAGAAAACTGACGATCTATGTTTCTTCTTCTTTTCCTTTTTCTTGGCTTTCTTTGCTCTTCTTTTTGTATCTTCATCTGCAAATTAAAGCACATTTTAATTAAAAACAAAAATTAAACTCTAAAACCCCAGTAATTTTGAGTAAATATCCTATTGCCCTATTTGTTGTTACAGAGAAATTAATTAATTCAAACATTTATTGCTCATCAGGATATGTGCTAGGCTCCAGGGACACAGAAATTAAAGTTATACTAAGTCTTCAATGATGCAGAGTATTATTATTAATTTTATTGGGTGAGATAATAGGAATAAGTAGGAAAATGTCCTTGTTTTTTAGAGATGTATACAGAAATCTTTAGGGTGGCAGTATGATATTTCTAATTTACTTTGAATATCTCAGCAAAAAAAAAATGATACTTAAAGCAACCGTCAAGGGACACCTGGGTGGCTCAGGGTCCTGGGATCGAGTCCCACATGGGGCTCCCTGCTTGGCAGGGAGTCTGCTCCTCCCTCTGCCTGCTCCTCCCCCTGCTTGTGTGTGCTCTCTCGCTCTTGCTCTCTCTCTAGCAAATAAAATCTTTAAAGCAACTGTCAAAGTACTAAAACTTATTAAAATCTAAATGATGTATATAGTAGTATACTATTCTCCTTACTTCCTAATGTTTGAGTATTTTCACGACGAAAAAAGAAAAAAACCCTATGTGTTTGGGGCCAGGGACATGCTTTCTAGGAGCTCAGTCTAATGGAGGAGACAGAGGTAAAGAGATAAACAGAATTTGGAGTGATACAGGGAAGCATGGGGTGCTCTGGGCATACAGAAAAGTCTCATTATCAGGCTGGTTTGGGGAGGGTGGTTAAGGAATGGTGACTCTTAAGCTAGTTCTTTTTTAAGATTTATTTATTTATTTATTTATTGGAGGGAGAGAGAGCAAGCAAGCACGAGTGGGGGGGGGGAAGGGCAGAGGGAGAGGGAGAATCAGACTCCTGGCTGAGCAGGGAGCCCAACTGGGGCTTGATCCCAGGACCCCGGGATCATAACCTGAGCCAAAGGCAGACGCTTAACTGACTGAGCCACCCAGGTGCCCCAAGCTAGTTCTTTTTAAAAATCAGTTTTATTACAAAAGTACTGCATGCCCATTGTTGAAGTGAGTAAGCCAAGCCGCATGCAAGGAGAGATTGGCATTGTAGGCAGATGGACTCTCTGTATCAAGTAACAGAAGCAAGAGAAAGAACATGGAATGCTGAGGAGACAGACAGTAGTTCTTTGGTTACAGAGGATGCTGCAAGAGTGACAGGGCATGTGTGATTAGAGAGGGATCAATCAGGGTCTGAACTTTACCCTGAAGGCTACAGAGAGCTTCTGAAGGATTTTTAAGTAGGGGACAGATGTGCTCACATTTGTGCTCTAAGAAAGTTCACTCAGGCGCCTGGGTGGCTCAGTCGGTTAAGCGTCTGACTCTTCATTTCAACTCAGGTCATGATCTCATGGGTTGTGGGATCAGCCCTGTTTCAGGCTC